TTTTTGGCATCAAATTTGGCTGGGGAAGCATATTATTTATGACTACTAGCATATCCCTTAAGTTATATATAGATTTTGTCATTCTATGTTTCATATAAAGATTTATTAAATTGTAAACAGTTTCATTAATAGTTTGAGCACTATCATTAAATAAAACATTCTCATTATTGCTGTAAGAAGTGCAAAATGTACTTTTACCGAAATCTATAGAATGCTCATCATATAAAGATGTATCTACATCAATTGCATTACTTATATTATCTAACGCCGCAATATCATCTTCATAATCATGATTATCATCGACAAAATAATTAGATTCATAAATTTCATTGTCGGATATCTCATCTGTACAAATATCGCTACTTCTGCTTAAATAATTATTCTCACGGCTTATATTCGAAGATTGTGTAAAATTTTGTTCCGTTTTATTTGTTTCCGTTTCATTAGTATCATTGTCACCTTCATCCATACAAGGAATTGATAATGCAATTTTTTATCCCATCGTTGACGGTTTCTAACAGGAATCTATTTGCATAAAAATTTCAAATATATTTTAATGTTTATCTTTTATATATAATCATCATATAGAAAATATAAAAATAATTTTCATACATACCGAGACATTTATATTTTCTTCCCACAGTTTATATTTTTTTCGTGGAAATGTATATTCACACACGTTGGCCATTTCTTATTCCAATTTTCTACTGCTAATTTTACATTGTTTTACACTGTCCATCTGGGGCTCTTCAAATTAATAGCGTTAAATGATTTCTTGCGTGTACTATTATTATAATTTTCTATCGTGTGGAAATCTAACCTTAAAATGACAAGTATTGACATGTATTGAAATAAGACAGAATCACGCGCTGGCGTAAACAATCGAAAACCGCGAACGCAGACGCAGAGCGGCGCAGGCATGTGTACACGGTTCTCGTATTCACGGTTAATGTATGTGATTGCAACTGTAGAGTTTATTACTATAGATTTTAAATATAAAT